ATTTCATATTTACACCGTTTCTTCAGTGTGTTCTATTTCTGTTCAGTTGCTATTTTAAACCTTAAAATTAAAACTATTACACAAAGCTGAAAATATCTGCCTTGTATTCTATTGTTTGGAACAGTAGAACAAAAGTTAGGTATGACTTTATTTCCAAAAAAGCTCGTCTATACATTGTTAAAGAGCAAATTTTTGTCACATTTTCTCTCAAATACCTAATAATCATCAAATATTTCTTGATTCTATTTGGATTTACACGTTTTTTCAATCAGTTTTACCCGCTATACACTCAAACGTTCAGCTATATCCCGTCTCAGAATTTCAGCCCACCCCGTACATATATTACCCAAGAAAACGCCATCCGCGACCTTCCGGTGTCGTTCAAAGTCAAACTGCGCCTTTTAATTAAAATCAGCCCTCAGTTGTTACACCTTTATTTTTAACACGTTTTATCAATCAATTTCGTATCTGAAAAATCTGCAAAATATAAAAATTCACTGGTAGATATATTTTCTTATATAATTTAAATTAAAATTTTTTAAACAGTTAAAATTGTTAGTTGTTCAACATTCTATCGTATTACAACTGTTTAGTAAAAGATTGAGTTTGTTTGAAAACAAAGCTCATATATACAATAAAACCTTGTTGTTCGCGGGGATAGGTTGAAGAAGATTCCCGCGAAGCGCAAATTCGCGATGCGTAAGTCATTATGTTTAAAACAGAATTAAGTATCAGAAACGCAATTCAGTTATATTTATGCATATTTATTCGAAACAAAATTAAAGATCCTATATTTGTATCTTTTTATATGCATATGAAATTGACAAAAAAACTTTTTGTTTTAATTACATGTCCTTCAGGCGGGAATACATTGGGCAAACTACGTATACGTTCACTATATACTTTGAATTTTATAATTGTTAGCACACATTAAATCGATTTTAAAACATAAGGCAAATAAGTTTTACAAAAAAAAAAACGCAAAAAATGTAATAAATTTTTTCAGAAAGGCAACACGATGGTAAATTTTAAGTTGAAATCATAGTCTTAACCATCTGTATATAATCTTGAACCAAACACTTTAAAAACTTTTTAAAATTCGTGACCGCGAATGACAAAGAAAAGGTACTCCGCAAAGAAAAGGTAACATGGATGGGTACCGCGTAAATTTAAATCTGTGAACCACAAATCCGCGAACGGTACAGCATAATTAACTTTTCGTCTGTAGAATTGTTTCAAATTCGTGACCGCGAATAACAAAGAAAACGCGCAAAGAAAAGGTGATTTGGATATCTACAGCGTAAATTTAAATGCGTGAACCACAAATCCGCAAGCGGGAAGGTTTTACTGGTTATTTAATAAAAAATGTATTTTTTATTGTATTCATAGTAATCGCTTCATCGTTTCATTTACTCACTTTGTCACTCAGTTTCTTAAAACAAACTTATGTATATACTACAACCGTTCAATATTAATGCAATCATAAATGATTTCAATCCTTCCATATAAGAAACACGTTATATTAAATAAGTATCATTCTGTCACAACCCTTCAACGATTAATGTTAGCAATCAATTACGATATGTACACTTTAATTATCAGGGCGCGCTATCGCGCGCCGCCCTGTATAGCGAGGACAATGTTACCAATCAATTACGATATGTACACTTTAATTATCACGGCGCGCTATCGCGCGCCGCCCTGTATAGCGTGAACATATNCGCGCCGCCCTGTATAGCGAGGACAATGTTACCAATCAATTACGATATGTACACTTTAATTATCACGGCGCGCTATCGCGCGCCGCCCTGTATAGCGAGGACATATGACGTAACGCACGACCACCAAAGTGGCGTTTTAAAACGGCCGCGATTTCTAGAACTCCTCTGCTTAGAACCCGGGCCGGTTCTAAGACGGCCTCCTCCTCCTCCTCATCTTAGAACCGGCCAATCGACACTACTTAAATAAACAACTACAATTCTAGAATTAGGGAAATTCGCTCTGAAGGAATTCTAAATATGCCTCACCAGTTAATGTTCCTTTATAATATGTACTTTGGTCGAATAATGTAGGTACGCATCGATAATGCCGCAATATACGTTAATTCCCCAAATTCTTTGAAAATTAGTCTCTGATCCAATGAGAATTATCTACAATGGTAATTGTGTCGATTGACAGTTCCATTATTATAAAAACGGCTTTCATATGACCATAATATTGAGTTAATAATGTTATCTTCACGAGTAGTCGTTAGCCATGCAAGAAACGCCAGTCTTGTCATAATCTCCTGGTTCTAATCTTTGATGCACGTGGATTTTGAAAGGTCGGAATTTTCGAGATTTTAGTATTGGTTGAATAAAACAATGAGAAATAATATCTCATTCTGCTTCAATTTCTCGAATTGAAATATGTGGATTATTAAGCACACTTTCCAAAAACTAACACTGTGCTCTTCACCAGTAGCAATCTTTCATTTAAAAACAATTTGTTTTTTTGAGAATACCCCACATGTTAAATTTAAAGCCAGACGTGTAAAATACATAGCACTTGGCATACGTCTGTCAGGATACCGCTCTCCTAGGATCATATTCAATTTTTCCTGATTTGTAAAATCGTCGTTAGTCATCTTGAATATATACCAATTTTGCACGAAGTAACTTATTATTAATACAAATTTAAATAACACCTCAAGAAATCTAAACAATCAAATTTATTCAAATCATTTCAAAATCAGCTTTAGTTTTCGTAAGTTGTTTTGATTTGTACAATCCCAATTTTGGAAACATTTAAAATGCAATTTCGCTTCTGTTTTGAAATCTAAATACAAAATGTAATACTTCACAAAAATGGATTTTTTTATAATTCAAATTTTAAGAAAAATATACAGCATGTCATTTAAAATAAAAGAGTTACGGTGGTTTCCGGTAAAACCGGAAGTGAGAAACATGATAGTTCATGGTTGTAAAAAAATCTAATGAAATGCACAGTTGAGCACAAAGATTACAACTAAGAAAATAAAAAAACATAATAATTTAAATCATAGAAGGCGAAAGTGACAATCATTAGTATCATTACAATGAAACTGTCACTATAAAAGATGCCTACTATGTGAAAATGTTAAAAAAAAGTTACTGTTCTGAACCGTACATTATTTAAAAAATTATTATTTCTGACTTAACTACGCAGGATTCGAAAAATACTTAAGTAGACATTTTTTTCTTCAAAAAAGTCTAATTCATTAAAAAATAATATTATTTGCTTGATAATTCAAAGGAATAAAAAATATCGAAAAATTTCTGTTAAGAGCCATACATTATTTAAAAAATAATTATTTCTGACTAAACTACGCAGAATTCGAAAAATAAGTACAGACATTTTTTCTTCAAAAAAGTCTAATTCATTAAAAAATAATATTATTTGCTTGATAATTCAAAGGAATAAAAAAAATCGAAAGCTATCCTTATTTATAACCGATTTTGATGAAACTTATGGTAGTTAAAGACCCTGATGGTATAATTATTACCTACAATTTTCATTCCGTTATCTTAATCAGAAAGTTATTTTAAAAAATATCCAAATGATAAGACCTCTTTGAAGGGCCATATCTCCGTAACGGTGCTCCGGAGAACCAATGATTATAGAAACTTTTTTTACTATTTTTGGCTCTACTTTCACCCCCTTAAATTTTGTACCAACTTTTCCAAACACCCTGTATGTTACACATTTATTAGATACCTATGCTCCAACAATTATGTTTTTATTTATACTGTGGGGTAGTGTATCTAAAAGAAATAAAACCATTTGAACCTTTATAAACGCTTTTATTAAATACACTTAAAATTTAGATTTCATTGTTCAAAATTTTGTTCAAAGCGGAAATTTTAAAGGAAATAAGGCATCAGGTTATAAGTATGTTTTATACATGCGTTTCAATTTTGTCATGAATTTTAAATTAACGTCAATCCCGTCTAATCATACGCTTTCGCACATGTCGAAATTTTTTCTTGGATTTTAAATCTCCCCCCAATTAAAATGGAACGTTGGTCGATCACGTTAACTAAATGTTACGATTTATGCTGACTTAGGGATTTTAAAGGAATTAATTACATGTTTGCATTTATTTTGTCACATACTTGTATTGTAAATTTTATTATTTAATTTTAAATTTACCATTAATCCTCACCCTGCCGATATCTACTACGCAAACGTTTAAATTTTAATGTTACATATATATTATTTTAGCTCATCTGAAATTTTGAATTTACCGCCAATAAGACCCAACAAATTCTTTCGCTGCATACGTTTAAATTTTATTATTTAATTTTAAATTTATTGCTAAGTCTCACTATGCCAATCTCTACTGCGCAAGCTTTTAAATTTTACTTATAATATACCTTCGGTCCCTCTCGGTCAATCACTTCTGTTCATACGTGGAAATTTATATCCGTCCTTTTAATTATTTCAATTTCTCGCCGATTTGATTGCCGCGCCCTGATTAGCCATTTGAATCGCCCGCCAATTTGAATGCCGCGCTCTGATTGATCGAACAAGCGGAGGGGTGTGGCCTAAAAGTGGAGTGGCGAGGGTGGTCTGAAGTGCCTCCTTACCTACAGGCATGTATGTTACTACAGAAAAAACTTCATTTTACTGTTTTTTTAATTTTCAGTTGATTCATAAAAAATTTAAAAATATAGTTTTTTTGTCATATTTTATCGCAATATCTGAAAAGGTAAAAACACCCCATTGTTCACTTATGAAAAAAAAAAAAACAGTATTTTGATCCTTTGTTGTAAAATGTAGTATTATTTATTTCAGCAAAAAATCCATTTTACTTGTTTGAATAATCTCAATTTTCATATACCGGGCAATTCTTGTTTATAACTAACCGTAATTCAAAAACAGCTTTTTTTAATATGAAATTTAAAAATGACAATTTTAAATTTTGTAGTTTTTTTTTCAGTTGTAACATTTATTTTCTTTGATTCCATTCCATTTTCTGTCACTTATAAGTAATATTATTTGTAGGAATACTTGTCCATTTCTTCTAACATTCACAAAAGTTTCTGTAACTGTCAACACACCAGAATATAGCTCGGAATTTGCTGTTACTAATTTAGAAAGTAATTCTTTAAATTTTCACAGCAATGAGGTAAAAAAATTTATTATTGAATTTATGGCCGACTCAAATGATGTTAATAAGGAAATACAGGTGAGGATAATTTGAAATTAATATGAACGGAAGGGAAAAGGGTGAATGGTTATGTGAGACTACACTAAATTTATATGTAATAATAAAACCTGTTTTACAATAACTAATTTTTTACCCAATAAATTGATCAAGATATTGGTCAAGGTTATTAGTGCCTACATGTAATACAAAAGTTGTGATAAATTCCCTAGCTTTAATAAATTGGTCATGAAATAGGACGCAATAATCCAATCATACACTTTCACACTATACACAGGATTTGCGAAGTAAATTGAAGTTGAAAAGTTGGAAATGTAATAAATTTCTATGGTTTGTCAGAATATTTATATTGCTCAATTTTTTTTATTATAAAAATGTGTCTGCTTACCCGTATAAATAAAGATATATGTGAAATCTAAATTAAAATTAAAAGGAACTTAAGACCTTAAGAAGTTTGAGGATTTTAAGGACATATTGTTAGAGCTATACAGGGTGTTTCAGTTCGAGTTAATTGAACTTTAACCACAAATAGAACTCAGTAAATAATTCAGAATTGCCTTATAAAAGAAGGGTCTAATTCTCGCCGGTTTCACTGTACAGGGCCGTATTGGTCGGTTTTTAAAATCATATTATTTATGAAATATTTGCAATGTTTATTAGACCAGGAAATATAGAGTATGCATGCATAATTCTTGGGTCAGGCTGATTTTTTGTGAGCAGATAGTAAAAACAGTGTAGAATATTATGTACCGTATCCGCACGCTGAAAAAGGCGGCCCACATTGTTTAAAACATGCCGTTTTAGTGGAAGTTCACTTTTTCGACTGTAACATTTTTTCTGACGGTCCTACAGAGAAATGGTAAAATACTTTTTTGTTCGTCTTTAAACGATATTGAAAATGTATTTTGATAGTTTTCTTTCTTTTAAATTGTTTTTTAATTTACTTTACTTATTATTGTTCTGTTTTTCTATTTTGTTAGGTATGTGTAAAGTGTGTTTGTCAAATTTTGTTAGTGAAATTTACATTAGCAGACAGTAAAATTTTCTAGGCGCTTATTTTAAAAATATGTACGGTTCTAACATAGTAATTATGTCCAATTCAAAATTAAAAACAAAAAATGGTGGAGTCGCCGCTCGATGTGCACTGTGACATAAAATCTCAAATATTTCTTAAACTGTTAATTTTAGTTGAACCAAGAGGGAGGGTATTATCGTTATTCTTCAGGGAACTTATTTTTGATACAGGAAGATTGCGATCGTTTCACTTATAACATCAACAACAAGTTATACGCATGCGTTATCGATCACCAAAGCAGCAGGTAATAGTTTAGAAACTATAAATAAAAATAACTTTTTAATTTTCACTTTTGAGGCCCGGTAACTTGTTAACGAAGGTCCATATGAAGAACTGATATTATTTTGACCTCATCTATCTGTACTCGACTTTTTTTATAAAGTACCGGGGCACCCTGTTTATAAAGCCAAAAAATTAGACGACTGTCCAAGTTAAAAAACAAATTTCTTTCTTAGGGGACGGAGCCAAGGATAAAAAAGTTACACTCTTTCAAATTTTCAAGCTTTCGAACTATATTTTGTTTCTTCATCAGGAAAAAACTACAATAGGATACAACTTAAAATTTTCTTAAAAATTATTCAATTAAAAATTAGGTACTTACTGTTCGAGAATTACATACGAAGTTAGCAAACATAATAGGTCCACCTACCGCGTACATAGGTCATTATTCCGATCCAAATAAATAAAAACATCACAGGTAACAGTTTAAAAAAGGAATTTGTACAAATATAAAAATTCTTAACTACGGAAGACTTTTTGTTTGATTTCGGCTCTAATCTAATCTCTAACTAGGTGGATTTCACAGGGTCTAACGACACTAAGAGTGTACGATAAATTCAATAAACATAGAAATAAGACAAAACGTCTGAATCTGGTTCGGGCTGAGGCAGTACAGTATTGGGGGTCATGAAGGCTTGCAAAAATGTAATAAAATTACCAGGGTCGTATTTAAAAAAATTAAGTTAGTGATGGTCCTAAAGAGACGAAACGTTACATATAAAAATTGATTATGCTATTCGATCGAGGGCAAAAAGTTGCTATGAGAAAGTGTTTTCTTTTTTCAATATCACCTCAAAACAAGGCTGAAATGAAACAAAAACGGATTACCAAAATTGCGGTTTTTTTTTCAAATATTTCGAAAACTAATCATGTTGGCCTTGATTTTTTAGAGGCATATTGGTCTCCTGATTATGCAATTTTGCCCCCATTTAAGCTACTTCGTATCTCTTACCGTTTCCGAGAGCCCTGTAGTGAGGAGCGAATTTGTAATGGGGCAAATTCTACAATTTTTTTTATACGCAATTTTTTCTACTTTCTGAACAGAAATTATGAAAATTTATCATATTTTACATAAAAAAGTTACTCTTAGATTTTAATAGCATGAGCCGTTTTCTAGTAAAACCCATTTCAATGCTCAAAATTTCCTGCTGAAAATAAATGTATCAATATGTGCCATGAGAAAATTACTATTTTTCTGTAACGGGAAAAAAGTTTGACATTTTATCTCTGTTGACAGGTAACAAAATGTCACTTTTTATGAAATTGCTGTTTTCCCCGGGAAAAAAGTGAGTACTTTTTTCCCGGATATATACAATATACATAAGTTACATTTCCTTTACACCAAAAGTACAATTATTAAATGTACATTGCATAAATGACATGTTTCTTAAACTATTCGGTATAACAGTCGAACTTTCTTGTGTATTTTTTTTTGACATGGACACAACAGCCGTTGATGTACCTGGTCGAAAATCGGATGTTATTTCAGCACTGCCACACGTTCTAAACACTTTATTAGTAGTCCAATGAAATGTTACATATTTTTGGGCTTAGCGTGCAAAAATCAGAGCGCGCAATTTTATTTTTTAGATGTCAAGAGGGGATTAGTGTAAAGTTAAATCCATGTTTGTGGGGTCGCAACCCTTGTGCATCGACCGCCATCTTGTAAAAAGGGCTGCTATTGGTTTTTATATTACTACTTACTATATCGGGCAAACTATTCGCCGCACAGAAAATTTGTAAATGCATTTTTTATTGCAAATTAAATTCTCTACAAATCTGGTTCCGTAACTTTTAGTCGTAGAACCAAAAATAACAAAGTTATTAAGGAAAGTAGATAAAAATTTGGGAACAAATTTTCTTTTGGTCGTTATAACTTTTTTCTGGTCATTTTACAAAAAAATTACATCAGCATTTTGATAGAGGGGTTTTCAATGAATAATTTTCATTACAAACTTTTTTCAAATTTGATTTGTTTATTAGGGTTTTACAGCGATGCGAATCTTACACTATTCTCCAGTACTAGTAAGTATACATTAATATGAATGATTAGGCATAGTTTTCTCTCATCGTTCCATTATTTTTAAAAGAAACAATTTAATGATTGATATTGCAATGTTGTTAATTAGTTATTGACTCTTTTTCCCACCTCCTACGAGGTAGAGTTTGGTGGCGCGTTTTTTTACGTCGTATCCCTAGGCAGAATCCACGGACATTTTCTAGCTGACATAATAATTAGTGTAATAAAAAATATCGAAATATATTTCCCAATCTACTGTGTTCTCAGTCTCTTTGATGGGCCAGGCTGCGACTCAGGATCTGGTTGAGTTTCCGATATTGAATTGTTGAGGAAGGATGGAGAATGAAGTGACGTCATTATTGGCAGTTCATCTTCAAAATCCTTCTCCTCGATCAATTTTGGTATCTCCATTATGTTGCTGCATGTCTCCCCAGAACAATTCAGGCACACTGTAGAACATTTGAGGCCTGCCTTCCGACATCCACACATTGCTCCACAGTTTCCTTTGCATCGGCAGAATATCAATTTTAGAAGCTCAGGGGGTGCTAGAGGTTTTGAACTTTGAACAGGCATCAATATTTGTCCATACTTTTTCCAGACCCAGTCTTGAGGGTCGTTGTAATTCCCGAGCCACGACTGGACCTGATGATAGACTTGAAGGCTGTGCAAGCGGGCTGTGTCTTGTGTTGGAGGAAATGAAGACAAATTAAATGTATTCTTTGTCATTGACTTGGCGAATTGTTTATATCTAAGACTGTCAAGAGAATCATCATCTTTATTGCCACCATATAAAGAGATGAAAAAACGTTCGCCAACGGCAGTGAGCAAAGTAGGGTCGACTCTCTCATTAAAGAATAACTCCGTTCCACTAGCTAACTCAGGATGTGTCTCAAGGGTTGTGAGAAATTTCATTTTACCGATGTTGTAAGCTACTGAAGTCATGTCGCATCCTAAGAAGGCATGCAGAAATAACAGATTATCCACAATGACGTCTCCGTACATAAAACTTGACGGACAATATAATTGCTCGGCTGTACGTCCTTTTGATGGTTTAAAAAAAAAATACATTTGAATGTGTTCTTCCAAATACCATGAGCAAGACAAGAATGTCGATATCTTCGGCGACAATAGTAACTGAGTCGAACGATTGGGATGCAGCAAGAGCGGAGCGAACGATGAGCGTATCTGCATCTGATTCTGCTTGATCGACAATGAAACCCACCTCTTGTCCACAAAATTCAAAATAGTATCCACAAAACTCAAAATACTTTTCACAATTACACAACTGGAAGAAAACTTTGAAGGACGCCTCCTATACCTAATCATTCATATTAATGTATACTTAATATATATGGAGAATAGTGTAAGTACGCTGTATCGCTGTAAAACCCTAATAAATAAATAAAATTTGAAAAAAGTTTGCAATGGAAATTATTCAATTATTCCTTAAAAACCCCTCTATCAAAATGCTCTGATGTATTTTTTTTTGTAAAATGACCAGAAAAAAAGTTATAACGACCAAAAGAAAATTCGTTCTCAAATTTGTATCTATTTTCGTTAATAACTTTATTAATTTTGGTTCTACGACTAAAAGTTATGGAACTAAATTTGGAAAGAATTTAATTTGCAACAAAAAATGTATTTACA